ATTTTTTTAAATTTAGCTTTAATGTGTTAGGATTTAGATTTTTTAAGGTTTAGGGTTTAAAATTTAAGAATTTAAACGTTTAATAATTTGAAAATTAAAAATTAGAAGACCAAAAAGTAAATTTAAAAATTTTAGACTTAAGAAAAAAATAAACTATAGGGACCAATCGGCTTGAGGACCGATCGGTCCCTAAAGCATTACCCTTAACAAAATAAGAACGTCTGCGGCGGCTGGAACTGGGCAGCCATCTCCTATCCTCTTCCTCCTAACTTAATAGATAATATTAGAGTTATCCCCATGCGCAAATTTGGTTCAGAGGAAGATAATCCCTTTAATTTGGAGCCCTTTACCTTCTAGTTTTGTTCTCTTCTAAGGATGCCTATTGTATTGCCAAAAATTTGGATAGGAATCTTAGAGATGAGTGGTCAATTCACATCCTCCCCAAAATCCAACACTTTTGTGGTCACTTGGTCACGAAAAGATCCTAACCTTTGATACTCTGGTTCAATGGAATCTTGCTAGTGATCATCACATTTGCCCGACATGCAAAAGGGGCACCTGAAACTTTGAATCATTTGTTGAGGGAGTGTTATAACTCCTCCTTGTTGTGGGATTCCATCAATCCTCACTATTCTAGCCAGGGCCAGTATAACATATAGACTTCAAGGATTGGCTCAAAACCAATTGTTGCCACAAATTCGATAGACCTGATGGACTTTGCAATTCAAGTACCTTGTCCTTTACTATCTGGTCTATTTGGCTCTCTAGGAACCAGCTTGTTTACAATAATCAACAGCTTCCTGTTCTGGATATCAAAGCAATCACCATTGAGAAAGCTCAAGAGTATTTCAGACACAATCCGAAAGGGAATGTTGACAGGTTGTCTAAAACTATTAACGTGGGATAGACTCTGCCTCCTCCAGCTAGCTTCTACAAATTAAACACTAATGGTTCTGCACAAGGCAATCCGGAGGTTGCTGGAGCTGGTGGGCTTATCCTATAGAAAAATATTGCCTTTTTTTTTCTTTGATTTGCTGAATTTGTACAGTATATATATACAATATTCTAACGGTATAATGCAACAGCTAGAATAAACAAGTAATTGCTAATTAATTGCTTTCTGTAATTGCTTCCTAGAATCAAGGGATGACCTTGATATGCTGCAATTGATATGCTGCGATGGCTGTGCTGTATATGCAGCTAATACCCTCCCGTCAAGTTGGAGCATGTAAGTTGTAGATGCCCAACTTGCGTAGCTTTGTCATCTTTCTTTGATTCCTTCTTCCTTTTCCTCTCAGATTGTGGTTCTTTCGCTTTCAGCTCCACTGAAGGACCTCAATGTGGCTGCTAAATGTTCATTTCTATGTGCTGAAATAAAACTTGCAAGATTATATATTTTAGGACATCCACACAGATATGACAGCTATTTGAACCTATAATGCAAGTATCATTAACATCAAAGGAATCACAGACACAATAGTTCTGACTGAGTCTGCTGAGAACTAAAGGGCCTAAAACTCACCAGAAAGAATGACATCTTCAGTGCTAACAGATTTACAGCCAGCATGCTGAGCAAATAGCTCAAGACCCTTTGCCAGATTCTCTGCATTTAAAACAAGCATGCCTTTTTTAGTTCAAGAAAACCTTGTGGTACAAAGAACAGAACAGTCAAATAAGACATGCAAGTTCAACTTCCATTTTCTTGAACTTAACCTTTTGCAGTGAGACAGATTTATGTGTAAAGCAACATCATTAATGTTCCCATGTCGGTGTGTTATTTTCTACTCGTTAAGATGCTGAAAATATTATACACAAATTTAGCAGTGCCAAACATGACACAGAATAGCAGTGCAACAGATGGAGAGCAAAATCAGACAAGGAGTCAACATGTTCGACACTACTTGATCTTTACTTTCACCAAGAAAATTAAATTGATAATGTGTGATAATGTTTTTATCATTAAAACAGTACCAACGTAACATAAACCTTCTACACACTTGCAAAAGATTTCGAGAACATATCATTGAGCTTAAAGCCAAAGCAGCATCTTAAAATCATCACACCTTGGCTCTCAAGACCCCACTATACCATGTATATAATCTAGAAAAGAATTATAAAAATAATTTGTGATAAGAAATTAAAAGAATTAAACAGAGTACACAACAAAAAATCAAATAAAACCCACCTCCTCAATGTGTCTAATTCACACCACTTGCTCTACCCCTCCGCAGCATCAGCAATCACCATCTAAATCAGAAGGCAAGAGAAAGTGTAAGGAATTGAGATAGAAAACTTCAAGATACCGCCGAGAAGAGAGAGATATTGGATAAAGGAATCCCTCATCGGACAGTGACAACCATCACCGACCCATCTAAACCCAAAAGCAAACAAAAGGTGGAAGAGACAGGAAGTCTGAAATCCGAAAGGGAAGGAAAGGAAGAAAAAACACTCAACACCAACTAAACATTAAATCACCAACCGAAAGTTTCCATCAGGAACCATCCCCACTGCAGACAGCATAATCAGAAACGCAGGTAAAAGAAACTGCAAGTCATACTTGCTAGCACTATCAAATCCGCAAGCCAAGTCCACACAAAAGAAATTATAGGAGAACAATCTACGAATTAGAGAAACTACCTGAAGACCCAACACAGTCGAAGTCAGTCGATCTAAAAAACCCACCTTTCAAACCCTAAAATCCATTGTTTTCCTGTCAAAATAAACTTAACTCTTGAAACCCAAAAACTGCACAAGAGAAAGAATTCAAAATAAAAAGCAAAAATATGAACCTAGCAGACATTAGGATCCACTCCAAGCGCAGAAACGTACCAAGCAATGAGCACTAAAAGAAAAGCAACACTCCCTGAGGTTTCACAATGATGACTGAATGCAAAACCACAGGGACGATTGCCATTCAGCTACTCAAATCTCAGAATCCAGCGCATCCGGGAACGCGATTTTCCTCTTTCACAATCGACGATCGAAGACCAATTTTGGAAGGTTAAATCCCCGGTTCAGTCCCTGAACTTTCATTTTTGAACTAAATTTACCCTCTAACTTCAAAAAGTACTAAAAAAATCCTTAAACTTCAATTTTTGGAACCAATTTCATCCTTCTGTCAGTTAAGTGCTGACATGGCAAAACTGTAAAAATGGGAATTATCGTGGCATCCGTGAGAGGGTGGAGTCCTTCAATTATTTTGATTCGCGCACGCCTCTTGCCTTTTTCACAAAGTAGGTAATACTGTACTGGCATGCGTACTGATTTTATTACTTAAATGATACATACCAGATACCGAAATTTTTCATGTACCGTTTCGGATTTATTATTATAAAAAAGTTTTATGAAAAATTTGGGGAGAAGTTGAAGAAAAAAAACAAGAAACGGACTCAATTGAAAAAATTAAAAAGCTGAGGATGAAATTTACTAAAACAAACTCATAAGCCTAGCCCGATATTAAGCAGCCCATCAAAACCCAAATTTAACAAAACCCTAGTTTCCTCTCTTTTAAAGGGAAGGAGGAGGTGCGGCTGCCAAACCTAAGAAAAAGAAAAAAAAAAAAGGAGAAAACAGAAAAAAAAAACTTGATTTTTCTCCCTTCTGCAGATCCACCATCGCCACCATCACCTCCGTTCCTTCACCTCGGATCTTCACCATCCCCTTGCTGATCTGGCTTTGTTTTTTGTTTTGTGTGGGTTTTTTTGGTTTGTTTGTTTATATGTTGGTTTGCTTTGTTTGTTTGCTGTTTTTTGTTCTGTTCGGTGCAGATCCGACGGCCTTCTTTTTCCTCCGGCGGATCTGTGGCGGCGCGGGCGAGGGCTGCCGGATCTGACGCCCACCGCGGCTCTCCTGCTGGTTCCGACGGACTGCCGCCGCCTGATCGGGTTACCGCCTGGGTATCCCGCCGCCACCCCCAGCCAAAACGAAGTTGTTTTGGCTGGGGATTCTTTTTTTTATTTTTATTTTCCTTTGCATAATGTACCGATCAAATTCCGATGTACCGGCCGGTATCCAAAATTTGACCGGTACACCCAAAATTTGACCGAAACGAAATCTTAACTTATTCCGTTTCGATTAACCTCCAAAACTGATACGTACCGGCCGGTACAGTACGGTACAAACTACATTGTTTTTCGGTTTTCCATACGCTTTTCTCTAGAAAGCTCTTCATCCAAATTCCCAATAATAACCCCTCTTTCCTCTCTCCAGCCTAAAGTTGTCTCGCACTCTCCAATCGGCCGATCGTCATGTCGTCGACGGAAAGGAAAATCACCCTCAAGAGCTCCGATGCGGAGACTTTTGAGGTGGACGAATTGGTGGCCCTCCAGTCGCAGACGATTAAACATATGATCGAGGATGATTGCGCCGATAACGGGATCCCTCTACCGAACGTCACGAGCAAGATCTTATCTAAGGTGATCGAATACTGCAAGAAGCACGTCGAGGCTTCCAAGTCTGAAGATCGTGCTACTTCTGCGGACGAAGAGCTCAAGGCCTGGGACTCCGACTTCGTCAAGGTCGATCAGGCCACCCTCTTTGACCTCATATTGGTACGTCTTGCTTTTTCTTCAATCTATTTCGATTTATTGTAATTTAATCTTTCTTTTTTTCTTTTGCTATATGTTTAATTTATTGGATGAACGATTGCTTTATCTTAATTTGTTGAAAATTTTGGATTTTTTTTCTTTGGGGTTTGTGCTGAATGCCTAGATTTTTAGGATACGAAACTTCAAAAAATTGTTTTTCAGTCAATGGAATAGGTAATCTTATTAATCTATGCGATCTTCAGGCTGCGAATTATTTGAACATCAAGAGCTTGTTGGACCTGACATGCCAGACGGTGGCAGACATTATTAAGGGTAAAACACCAGAGGAGATCCGTAAGACATTCAATATTGTGAATGACTTTACACCTGAGGAAGAAGAGGATGTTCGCCGGGAGAATCAATGGGCCTTTGAGTGAAGGATTTCAACTAAGCAGTGACCTTTCTCGTGTATTTTAGTTTTTATGTGCGGAGAATGAGGGTTGCTGTTTCCACCGTATGCTTATTATTTAAATTCTCTATCTTAGTTAAAGTGCCTTATGTAATTTTCCCTAATCCCTACCATGCCGAAAGTTGTTATTCTGGTACTCTTTACTCAACTGGGATGTTTCATTGGGATCATTCTATGTTAATATTGAATGTGTTGTTTACTTTCTTGTTAATTGCTGTTTCTTTCATTGTTCATGTATTTGAATATGATCTTCCTCTACTTTTGAGCTGCATATATTTGTCCAATGCCACATGGATAGAATGTAGCATACATACAGAATCATAGAAAGCACTAATGCAGCATTACTTTGTGCGCATTATAGGTGACTTTGATTATGATAACTCAAAGCTGGTGATATGTATCATCCTTGAAATCATGCTAGGATGATAGAGAGATAAAATTGACTCTTCCAAACCAGGATGCTTGCACATTACATTGAGTTGCGTAGAATCCTTGGCTTGTGCATATTACATACTGCTATTGTATTGCCTACTGGAGATGTAGCACTTGTGGATGCTTTAACTGCTTAGAACAAATGGACTCCGAACCTTATACTTTCCATTTGACCATGTTATAGATCCAAACACATCTTTATCAAGTTGCTTCACCGGGGAGAAAATTACTTGGTAGGACAACTTCTGACCGATGTCTGTAAACTGAAGTTTGTCTGGGACCACTTTGACATTTATGCCTGCAGGTGCTTCAATGCTTACTGTGTAGACTGGTTCATCATCTCCAGCAACATTTGTAAGAGATCTATTCACTTTTCTGCTCCCTTTTACACTGATTTTGGAAATGGCTATTGATGGATAATTGATATCAGATATAGAATCAGTGCTTGGATTCATGGGGCAAACAAAACCTTTTGGGATAGTTCTGGCAATGGTTTTGATTGTGGAGTTATCATAACCGTAGTAGCAGAGGAAATTCAGATAATCAATTGTGGTAGTCTCATAAACCAGCCCTGGTTGCAGTGGTCCAGTTATGCCTATTTCCCCTGCACCAAAATCGTATGGGGTGGCTGCAGAACCTGTCTCAGTCGTTATTGGGGCTCTCAGGTTATTTGTTTGAGTAGCTTCAAAAATTGGACCCAAGTAACCATAGATTAGTCACATGGAACTTTCTCATCAGTCTTTCTTTATATGTTATAGCTTGGTTCTTTTTACCTGTTGTCATAATGGCTGATCTGATTGCGGAAGGGCTCCATGTGGGATTCCTAGATTTAACTGCTGCAGCCATCCCAGAAACATGTGGACATGCCATAGAAGTCCCTGAGATCACGTTGAAAAGTGGAGGGTCTTTGCCTTCTGGAGCCGCTGCCGTGTCATTGCCAATCCAGGCTGCAAGAATGTCGACTCCCGGTGCTGCAATATCAGGCTGCACATTCAACATAGTGCCCCATTAAGATCTCTTGGTGAAGGAAATAATTAATTGTCCACCAATAGGACGTGAAAGATGAGGTTTTACCTTGATAATGTTCATGGTGATTGATGAAGGGCCTCTAGAAGAAAAGTAAGCCACAGCAGGTGCTGGCTTGTAGTTCGTCACAGACACAGAAGGTAAGATCGTTCCAACCGGTTTTCTGTAGAAAGTTTCTTACATCTCAACAGTTTAGTGAAATTTCGAATCAATGAATTATTTATTTAAATTATATTTGCTTTGTTACCTAGTCGAGTTGATGTAGGATAAAATTTCGCTGCCATCCTTCGAACTAACCATGGTTAATGGAAATTTGCCATAAGTTGATGCCACTGCTCTTGTTGCATCATCAATCAAGACTAACCCAATGCCTCCAAGGCTCTTCACTTCTTCCAACTTCTGCATCCGTGAATAGTCCTCGTCGACATTCTCACAGACAACAATCTTCCCCGCAATCATGTCTTTATCCATTGATTCCGGCTGGCAGTTTCTGAAGAACACCAATCAATCAGGCATTACCAAGAGATGTACTGAGACAATATTGATGGTCAGTCAGTAGATACGTAAAATAGTTTGTTGTCTATATGGCAAAAGGTGAACCTTGCAGCATCTTCGTTGCTGTTATTTCTCTTGGCTGACTTCCCATATATGATGGGATTCACCGGAGTCTTTCCGATGTTTGCAAAGTTTATGGCTTCACCCTATTGATGAAGAAGAAAAATCCATTCCTTTAGAACTTCTATGCCAAGCCAAGAGTAGAGAAGAAAATGGTATGTAGAAAGGAGAGAATATTACTTTGAAAACTTTGTTTCCTTCCAACACAACATCAGACTCAAAATCCCGGTCAATTGTGCTAGCTGCAACGGTCAATATCCAGGGTGCGGTATTCACCACTGACTGGCTGTCAGGCCCGCTATTTCCGGCTGAACAGACGACAAGAATCCCCTTCTCCACGGCATGAAATGCGCCAATGGCAATTGGGTCATCCTTGATGTCCGGTTGAGAAGTTGCACCGAGTGACAGCGACAGAACATCAACTCCGTCTGCAATCGCATCGTCAAAGGCCGCTAATATGTTGGACCCGCTGCATCCACCACTAGAACATACTCTATAAACGGCAATTCTCGACGCTGGAGACCCGCCCTTGGCTGTCCCCGCGGCCAGGCCGTAGTAAGATGCGCCCGGTACCACACTCCCTGCGGCGGTAGCGGCCACATGAGTGCCATGCCCTATTGTATCCCTAGGTCCATTCCCTTTGATCGAACGACGAAAATTATTGTAGAATCTTGCTCCGATTAGCTTTCTGTTGAAACTCAAACATAAACACCAGAAGAATTTAACAATATCGTTTAAAGTTTAAATGAATTTTGTTACCTATTGCAGTTGGAGGAGCTGAAATCGTCACCCTTCATGCAGGTGCCGTTCCACCGTGCCGGAATCGGACCCATATCCTTGTCATTGAAACTTTCTGACTCCGGCCAAATTCCTGTATCTAGGATGCCAATAATGGTATCAGAATCAGAGTCTGATTTCAGGTTTGCGTCAATTTTTACTGCATTTTGATACTTCAAGAAATCCCATGAACGAGTTGTATGGAGTTGCAAATTGGGGTCACGGAAAACCGACACAACCCCCGGTTTCTTGGCCATGGAACTAGCCTCCTCCGCCGATAGAACTGCCGCAAATCCAGAGAAACTACGGCTGTAGCTGTGAACCAGGGCATTTTTTTTCCTGTCACAAAGAAGGAATTTTTTTTTAAAGAATTGAAAAGAAACTAAGATTTTTCAGGTACGAATTAACTATGAGTGTATTCAAATTCAATTCACCGCAATGAGCTCAGAAGCTGAGAATGGTAATTTCTTAAACCATTTGTGGAAGCAGCCGCTCCCATGTACACTATATAAACATCCTCATTTTTCCCAGCAGCTGCTGCTGTTGCATTTTCTGCATTTAGTGAAACAAAGACGAGAAGAATAAAGAAAATGCCTTTCATTGTGTTAATTAGCTAAGATAAGATTGATGGATACATCCCCCCCTAGCGGCATAGGGTTTAAATATTACTAGGATGGTGGACTAGGTGTACAAGCATTGGCACACTTTAGACCGGTAAAGATCTTGATATCCATTGAAAGTGCGCCCGGATTTATCCAAAAGCTTGACTGATCGGAATGGTGGTAGTGGTGGTGGTGGAGGTGGAGGTGATGTAGGTGGAGAGTGAAGATGGTTGAATGTAATTCACTAGGGGCATGCACTAAATGAATAATGGATGAGATCAACATCCAAAAGCAATTTTAGGTAACAGATTTTGGTAGCCATCATCTTATGGGAAATCATTTTTCCTACTTTGGATATGGGGAATATTATTTTTTGGCCTTCCCCCTGACAAAAGTCATGGGTAATGATTTTGGGCATCAATCATGTAACGATATGGCCAACATGATACCGAGTAATCTTAGGATTCAGAAGGAATCCTACGTGGCTACATAATGGGCGAAATGCAGTTCCATTCATCCTCCTTCGTGTCAAGTGCTTCGTCTAGTGTCACACTAGCAAAAGATACCATCTATCAAATTTCAAGTCCAAAACTTCACCCAAAAAAAGAAGGGGTTAAGATTAAAAAAAAAAAAAAATAGAAGAGGTCTACCTACTTGCATTTTTCCTCAATTTTTAATAATTCCTCTGTTTTCCAAACTGATGTGATAAGGAAAAATGGAAACAAGTCTGTGTCTCTTAGATGAAAAGGAAACAAATAGGAAGAATAAGAAGCTTAATGGAGAAGGGAGATCTGCCGGCAACTGGCCGGAGAAAAAACGTTACGGACGGAGAAACGGAAAAAGAGGAAGAAAGCAAACCGATTTAGGCAAATCCAAATTTTGAAATACTTACATTGAGCTTCGGCCCACTTCTACCAGCAGAAAAATAGACAGAATGGAAAACTAGTTTGGGCCTTGTGTGAATAAAGTTTCGAAGGTCCTCTTTTCATATTGGGCTTTGGCTCACTAGGATAAGAATTATTGAGGTAGAAAAAAAAAAAAAAAAGCAATTCCGTTGCCGGGAATCGAACCCGGGTCTCCTGGGTGAAAGCCAGACATCCTAACCGCTGGACGACAACGGAATTTTAATATATTTTACCAATGAATTTACTTAACGGTAACACAATTATAAGGCAGCACCCCAGCTTTTTTCCATCAATCTTCGCCTATTAAAATGAACTTCTACCGGTGTGAATGCGCCATCTTGTCAAATGAAGATAGTTCCCAGAATATTTTGAAATTATTCAGGTTGAAAATTTAATTTAAATGAGGTTTTTATTTTGTAGTATAAATAGTATAAAATTAAATAAAAATTATTAGATATAATGATAGAGTTAAGGGTTGGCCCTAGGCTACCTAAGCCGTTGAAAAATTGAAAGTTTGGGTCCTCAAATTTTATTTTTATTTTTTTTATCTAAATAGTTTTCTTATCATTTTAGCTAATTTTGTTATTGTAGATTATTTATAAGTGATAATGAGAAAGTTACGGAAAATATAGAAAATATGAGAGATGAAAAATTGAACATTAATTGAATGAAAAAAAAAAATCAAAAAGAATCCTTCAAAAAAAGGTCAACAAAAAATTTTTGGTTTAATTTTTAAAAAGGGTTTTTTAACAAATAAAAAATCAATTTGGCCCTTAAATAAAGAAAATTAAAATAATTTAATGAACAACAATAAATCAAAAGTAAAAAATAAAAAATTAATTCAATAAAAAAAATTTTTTAAAAATTTTCTCTTTAATCAACTTTCAATTTACATTCAAATACATTATTTCTTAATCAAAATTTCATGTTGCCCCTCCTAAAAAATTTTTCTAACCACGCCACTAATTAGAAGGGAAAACAACTATTAAATAAAATTATTAAATAATTTACACTATGTACTCTAAACTATACAGTAATATTTATTTTAAAATAAACATAAAAGAGTTTGATGAACAAGTAGATGCTGCCTTCGTCACATAAGCTGCGCTAAAAATAAACTTCATTCTGGTTAAAATAATTTGTCCTTTAGTGACGACATGATTAGATTTTTTTGGGGGGGCGAAATTCTAAATAGTAAAGAGATTGGGATGTTGATGTTATGGTTCCATAAATTTGGATGTATTTCTGAAACTTCTATTAAAACACCAAAATGGTTTTTTTTTTTTTTTAATTAAAGAAGGAAAAAGGTTCCTCTGAGGCTCTGAGCTTCCTTGGTTTTAAAAACAAGATAATGTAGGCAGATCTTATTTTGTATATATATATATAAAAGTAGGGATTTATTTATAGTCAAATTTTATATATTATATTTATATAAAATTTTAATTAATTAATTTTTATTTTTAATAGTTGAAATTTATCTTGATATTTTAAATAAAAAAGATATTTATCTTTAATAAATATGATAAATAGTAAATAAATATATTTTGTTAATAAAAAAGATATTTATTTAGATAACAAAAAATTAGAAGAGAGGTAGGGAAGTGAGGGTTTTCCCTAATTTTGCTAATATTCTCTTTTATATATTTTAGTCTAACTAAACAAAGAGATTAGAGTGAAGAGAAATGAAAAGATTTTAAAATGCAAATATTCTAAAAAATAATTCGGAAAATTATCAAAAATGATAATAAAAAAATTAAAATACATTTAATTAATTGACACATACAAAAAATTTATTAAAGATATTTAAATAATTTTATAATAAATTATAACATTGAAAGTGTTAAAATATCTTGTTGATATTCAGTATATACTAAAAAATAGAATTTTCAAAAGGTAAAACACTTTTTGTATATACCAGTATGTTAAAATAATAATTGTTAATTACTGATGTAAAGAGCTAGAAAAAGAAAAAGAAAAAGAAAAAGAAAAAGAAAAAAGATATATAACAATAAATATCTGGCACACTATGAAACATCCTTTCGTTTTCTTTAAGCAACAGCATTATTAAACACATTAGTCCCCTAATCATAACCTAAGACTTTTTTTTTTTAAGGAAAAAGATGGTAAGGCATAATATATCTTAATTTTACTTAAAAAAGTTGTAATCCCTGTCATCATCACAAAATATATCACTCGATGTAAAATATTTATTTAAAAAATATATCCAAAAAGTGTTCCCTAGCTTTCGGCATCTGATAAACGATTAAAAGGCTAGACAAAAACATTATATATATATATATATATATATATATATTAGGATGGTCTCAAAAATAAAGAATTTGAGTTTTTATGCTTTGAAATAAATAAGGAAGAATTTGAGAAGAGAAAAAAAAAATTTGTACTATGTTATATAATGTATCATATGATAGATTAAAAAAATATATATTTGATTTAATTATTAAAAATAATTGATAATTTTAATTGTTTATTAATGATTGATAGAATAATTCATATTTATTATTTAATAGTTTGAAATCAATCCATATACTAATATTTTCAAACAATTTAACTAGTATAAATTGATATAAATTAGATAAATTAAAAAAAATACATATCAGTCTCAACTCTTAAAAAAAATTAAAATCTTAATATTAAATTATGTCATTTTCTTTAATTAAAACTTAATTCAAATTTTAAAAATTAACTTTATTAAATATTGATATTTAGATTTGAGAACTAATTATATTTTCTAATATAATCAGTTTCTAAATCTAAGTATTGAATATTTAATAAAATGGATTTCTAAATTTTAAATTATGATTTCAATTTCCAAATATAAGTTAAAACTTTTTTTTTTTTGAAAATAAATACTAACATGCACTAATTTCTAAACTAAATATATCTATAACATATTTTTTTAACCTTTCATTTATTTGTTTGCCATAACCACGACCATTGGCTTTCTTCTTCTCCTCTAAACTTTGACAAATTGTCTTGCGTAGACAATTGCAACAGGAAAACATAATTTTCTACAAATTCTTGCGGATAATATATATACACACACATAAATAAAGATCTATTTATACATAAATTTTACTCATTATATTTACATAAAATTTTAATAATTAATCTCTTTATTTTTAATGATTAAAATTTATCACAATTTTTTAAATGAAAAAAATAATTGTACTTAATAAATGTAAATAAATATCAATCATTAAAAGTAAAAAAATAAATTATTAAAATTTTATATTAATAAAATATATAAAATTTATATGTAAGTGAATCCTTAATATATAAACCAAACTAAAATTAGAAAATCCCAAATCACTCCTGAATCCTGATTCTCTCCGTTACTAATTTTTTACGATGAATGGGCCATGCATTCACGTGAGTGGGACCACTTTCGAAAACCTTAAGGTCCATTGGTCCCGCGGTCCATGAATTTTGTCCGTTTATTGTGGGCCAACAAAGTAACTTCCTGATTGTGATGGCATTTTCTTCTTTATTTGTTTTACAATTTAGGTATACCCTTTATTTTTCTGTTTGTAAACAGCATCGGAAAAAGGCCAAAAACCAAAAAAAAAAAAAAAAAAAAAAAAAAGAGAGAGAAAAAATGAGATCATCTTATATATATACCTCTTACATAAAATTATAATAATTTATTTCTTTATTATACTCTATTTGTTGGAGAATAATAAGTGTTTTTAAATTTAAAATTTATCATAAAATAATAGTTATTTTTTCATATTTTAAAGAAGATAAATATTTGTTTAACTTTAATCTTATCATTATTTTTTAATTTTAATTATCTATCTACTAATAAAAAAATCTTATTATTTTTATTTATTTATTGAGAATAATATAAGTAAAAATATATAATTCTCTAAATTCTTAATTTAAAGATAAAAAAAAATTGTCCACTTATAAGTAAGAGGGAGTAAATGTCCATAATTCCACAATTTTTTAGATAAAATGTCAATTATTTTTTAAAAATAAAATAAAAATAAATAAGTTTCAGTTTTATATAAGACTTGCTAAAAAATTAATTTAAAAGTTAAATTTTTTTTAAAAAAAAAAATTCTTTACAAAATTTTTAGTTTATAAAAAAAATTCACCATTTAAACAAATACTCTACTTTATCCCCCTTTTTTTTTATGCAAAACAAATACTTCACTTTTTAAACTTTCCCAAACACTTAAACCCTATAAGGCTTAGAACGGGTAAAACCCGGTTTGTCTACTGTCACCCTCACAATTCCCCTCCAAATTTCCTCACCAACTTTCGTCATTTGTGTAGGCTCTTGCATTAAGTTGAATAAAACAAGTGATCTTAGTAACTAAACTGTAAAATAAAAAAATATATGAATATTTTTGCATTCCCTCACTGTAACGACAGTAACGGTCACGTTTTTTTAAAAATAAAAAATAGGTGAAATGCATTTCAAGTTCGCATGTTGAATCTCAAACTTGACTTTCATATTAACCTAAGACTGTAATTTCTCATTAAAAAAAAATATGAATATTTCCTTCTCAGAACTTTAATTGTGAAAGCTGCCATGCTAGATTCTTACTTTCCTCTATTGCCGTGGGCGGGCAGCAACCATGGTCACACAATCAACAAAGATATTTCCTAAAACTTGTTCTCTTCTTATCTTCTTTAGCTTTTTTTGTCCTTTTTAATATTTAATAACAAAAATGTCTGCCTGCTACTTATAGTATGAAGTATGAAAATATTTAAATATTTTTATAATTAATAT